GTCTCATCCGGATTGAGCGCGCGAGGCGCGGCCACTTGGCGAATACGGGTGCCAGCGCTCGCCGGCGCAGAAGACGGTCGGAGGGCCAAGTCCGCCGACACGGGAGCTTGCCCCTGCACGCGCGTGCACAGGGGTAGCGGCTCGCCGCGCCAGCGTACCGTCGCCGTATAGTGCGGCGATGAGCGAGGAGGCAGCGTTGCCAAAGAACATGGTGGCGGAGGAGGTGATGGTGGTGGGAGGAAAGGAAAGCGCGATCGCTCGAGAAGCCGCGGGTTTCGGGCCGAGCCCGGTTCCGGGGCTAACTGACCCGGCTAGTCGCTCAAAACTCTTTCCCCGGGCCGGAGGCGGGCCGCCCATTTTTTACCCACGCCCCCACGCCTTGCCATCGCTTCAGCGGTTCCACCCCTTTCTGCGCTCAGACTTCCCTCTGCAACCAGCATCATGTCTATTGCTAAGTGACTAGGCTCCCTTTTGAGTACCCCCCTTCCCGACGTCGACTCTTTGGTAGGCTCGCTATGAATCCTCCGGCTCCTCCCTAACCTCACTTTCAGCAGGTGCAGGCGACAGATTGACCGCCACCACGCGTACGTGACCCCTAAGCAGGGCCCCACGTCGCTCATGTCGCGTAGCGTACTATCCGGGGCAGGGCGCGCCTGCGCCTCGCATCCTTCTTCAACCTGTAGAGGCGATACGGCCTTCGGCTGTTAGAGGTATGCAACTGTGTTTTGTCCTTGACCTCCGCTGATCGTGCTCTCTCTATCCCTATCCGCTCCTCCTACATCACCCTGTGATTCCGGACCCGGTCGCCGTTATGCCCCGTCGCGGTCCTCTACTCTCCACGCTCGATATGCCTCCGTGCTCCATCGATATGTTGGTTGGTGCTTGCACCATCGAATGATTGCCACGCACATCGTCGCTCTGACGTCGTGCCGTGTACTCCGTGTTCGACGGCTTTGTGCCACGTCGTTGCGGTTGGTGTTAACACCATTGATCACCGCCATGTATCCCGTCTTTGATGTGGGTCTGGTGCTCCGCAATTGGCCGCGTTCGCGCTGGCGCAATGTGCTGGCTGTTACCCCCGATACCATGAACGCCCGGTGCTTGCACCACGTACCCCTTTATACCCGTTACCCATATGCCGTCCTTGGCACTCCAGATACCCTGCAACGTGCACAGTCGTTTTGGGACCCCGCCTTCCGGGCGGTACCTGTCGTATCCTCTTCCATGCGTAATCAATGATTCAAGTTCGTCGGCATCGTTCGCTCGCGTGTCGAGCTTGACAACATTATAACGAATAGCCAGTCTCGGTCCCTGATCCCACCTTTGTTTTGCTTTCCGACTTTGACCACTCTCGGGTCGGTCACCTACAGTTGATCGCCTTTGTGCATGGTATTCGTTTGGGCTCGCACCCGTCAGCGGCGACGGCTCCCGAGGCTCTTCGTGGCCATGTTTGTTACACGTGTGACGTCTCCTACGATTCGCAGATCATTCCCTGTGTCAGTCGCATCCCAGAGATATACTTGCTCGAATTATAAGAGAAGATCAGTCACGAGTGGAAATAGGTTAAGCGCGATCGGAGGCAGTGGCACCCTCGCTTCTGCGCGGTGTGCGCGCAACTCGAGTTGCCCGGTGCACTTACCTCGTGAGACAAAAGCTGGCTTTCCTGGCAGTATATATAGATAATGACTTGCTCACTTTTCGAGCAGCGTTGAAGCTACACGGATGTTGATACCCTTGTGGGGGTTGAGCATTTTGCGAGAGATCCGATTGCGCTAATCGACGACTTAAATTGTAAAGCTCGATCTAATTGCGAGTGCCCCGGGTCTTCCCAGGGGTCGTAACGTGGGGGGAGTGAATACGTTGCAATCGATAGCTTACCATACATACGGCCTCATGCTTCTCTGAGTCGTGTGCATTTAACGCCGACGGCGTCAGGTGCGGGTAAGCTGTTGGCTAACCCTAACCCCAAGCCGTGCCCTCACCTAGAACACTTTCCTCTCCCCCGGATCATGTGGAATATCCGTAAGGACATCGCGCGTAGCGAGCCATGTATACGTATACTAGTAGTACACGAGCTAAGTGAGCACAGCCCAGTTCATCATATATATCGTGGAGCACGGATCCGCGGAATGCCAGACAGTCGTCCTTCCGAGTCCTTTCTGTAGAAAACTGCATTGTGGCTTGTTACTCTTGCAGCACTACTGCTATTGCGAGCGTGGCTCTGAACCGAGACGATGTAAGGCCCCGGTGATGCCCCGGAGGGGCCGTGACAGTTGATGGCCCCCTCGACCGACTGGGCCATCAACCGGGCTCGGCCCGAAACCCGCGGCTT